TGTTCAATCAGTCAGTCATCATGAATCGGAAATCGGGAAACAACAAATGGACAGAGAGAATGATTGATAATCCATGTCTCAGTCCATATGATATCTAGAATGGAGGAATATATGATCCCTTATCTAATGGACAAGTCATTGACAAAGGTCAGAGTTCATCGACAAGGTCAGAGTTCGACAGAAGCTTTTGAGAGCTACGATTGCTGATCGGTTCCTGAAGTCATACGCAATAATAGTTTTAGACTTATCCAAGTGGGAGACTGTTGGATTAATGTCTAAGTCCATAACTATAATTGGTAAGACTTGACCCGACCCGGCATGGTCCATTTGGGTTGCATGGCATCATGCATTTGGATAGACTATAATGAGAGAAATAACACTTAAGGTTGGTTAATGTATTATAAGTTCTAATATATTAATAAGGCTATTTAATTAGTATTGATCAAGAATTAATTTGGAATTAATTAAGTGATCAAAAGGAGACTAATTAAATATATGGGTTGATTGTGTAAATCATTCATTCTTATATATGTGGGCTTGTGATCCAAGATTCCTTATGTTGGACTAAGTCCATGGGGTGACCCATGGATACTCCATGGAGGTTAAAATCCATGGAGCATAAGGAATGGGTAAAGTTATGAGTTACATGGTGTAACCCTAATAGCCACCATATAAAAGAATCCCATGGCTCAAGAAATCGGGCACTAAGGTGTGAGTGTGAGGGCTAGACGATTTCAAGGAGTGTTCAAGTTTCTCTCAAGTTATTCCAAGTGTATTTGGTGTTGTGTGAACCATTTGAGGTGTCACACTTGGGGCACTAGGCACTCAAGCTTCATGAAGACATTCTACATCAAAGAGGTATGTATTCTATCTTGTTATATTTATTATTTTGTATGCTAGATTAGGATAATACCTTTGGATGTTCATAATTGTATGTATAATAGAGAAAACATAGATCCAAGGTATTTAGGGTTGCATGTACACTTAGGAGTGTTAGAATGCTCATAACCCAACACATAAAACAATCAATCACATAACAAATCTCTAACCAGACAAGTAGTCTAACAGATCACATAGAATATCAATATCCTAACCATGATTCCGACCAAACCGGTCACTAGCATAACATTACCCTATATCCCGGGTACCGACCTTAACCAGGTCTCTAACGCATAACATCCTAACTACCAGGATACAAACATTAGCAAAGCAATAACATAACAACAACTACCCGGATTCCCATCCGATAAAGGGCCGGCCTTGGTACCGTAGACCCTGTCGATAAAGTGAGGATAACTCACCTTGTGGCTGCCGAAATCCTGCAAATCTCTGACTGCTGACCCACCGGGAATCCCAACAATCACATGCAAATCATCACATTAGAATCCATCATGACTTTCTAGGCCAAGGGCCCACAACACTCATTAATTCCATCATCATCTTATTGGGCCAAGACCCAAAACCAAATTCTCATGCAAAGCCCAATATTGGCCCAATTTACTAAATTGGGCCCACCTCACCAAATGGGCCTAGATCCAAGGTCCATAATAATTATTGGGTCTAAACCATTCCATCCATAATGTTTAGTCACGGCCCAAGCCCCACTAGCCCATAAACAGCCCAATCACCTAAGGCCCAAAATCAAAAACCCAACAGAAGGCGTACGCTGGGCGTACTCCTCTGGTACGCGGGGCGTACGCTCGTCTGTACCCAAAAATCTTTCCAAGTGCTTGATGGCTTAAGCACTTAAGCCCATATGCTAGATCCAGTGACAAAAAGGGCCTAGGACTCATAAAGTCTCAATCTTTATCCTTTTGGACGTCCATTAAAGCTCTTAACTCAAGGTTTTAACCCATTAAGACCTTCCTACTTCTTATATGGGACAACCAAAGCCATTGGGACCTCATTTTTCTTACTCAAGACCTCTCTAATGGTCTGAAAGGACAACTCATCTTAACCAAAACACATCATACATCAAGATGGGGGTTTTTGGGACAAGAATGGTGTCAAAACTTCACCATACATAGATCTACACAAAATAGATGTCAAGCAAGAAGCTTTATACCTTCAAGTGGTTGCAAAGGGTGATGCTATCTCGGATCTACAAGCTCCAGCCACCAAGTTTCCTTCTTGCCAACCTCTTCTTTCTTCTTCTAAGCTTTCCTTTGCCAAACTAAGCTCCACAAGGTCAAATATCCACAACAATGGAAGAAGAACGGCTACTTAGGGTTTCTGAGAGTAAGAGGGCAGATATGGAGGCTAGGGTTGGAACCATAATGTTCCTTATATAGTGGCTGGCCCTAAAATTAGGGTTTTAAGACTCTGAGCGTACGCTGGGCGTAACTCTAGTACGCTGGGTGTACGCGTCCTTGCACCCGCGGTTATTCACCCTATTACGTTGGGCGTACCCACGCGTGTCCCAAAGGCATATATGGCCTTCCTCGTCAACTTTTCCCATTAAGGGCTATAAATGTCAATATCTTCAAAGTGTCATAACTCCTTTATTCTAAGCCCGTTCCCGACGAACTTATATCCGCGCGAAGGTGGCGAGAAGCCCTACGCTTCTATCAACATACCCCGGTCTGAAACCTTCCCGAATGAAAATCATTGCCCACAAAAGACCGAAACGCCCTTACTCTTGATCTCATAAATTCATAAATAAGTACTTTTCGAACGGGGCGTTACAATATGACTGATTAGTAGATCTGTATGATTAACTGTATTTGCTGGTTTTGCGTTTATGTTTATCTGTTACATATGTCGACATATGGTGGTTGGCTTGAGCCAGTCCTGCTTTGTGCTGAAGGCCATGATACCTGCGGGGGGGGGGGGGGTACGGATAGGTTGTAGGCCCTGCGTGGCGGTCCAGTCATGCCGAAGTCCCGTAGAGCGGTCCAAATAGGTTGTAGGCCCTACGAGGCGGTTCAGTCAGGCTGAAGACTCATATTTGCATGTTATTGTTTGTTATGTTGTGTGATTGTACTTTGGGGGAACTCACTAAGCTTTAGCTTACGGTTTCAGTTTATTGTTTCGGGTACTTTAGAGGATCGTGGGAAAGCAAAGACTTGATCGTGCACATCTTCCTATTTTCATGATATTGGATTTTGGGACACTCTGATATGATTTTACTTTTGAAACAATGGTTTTTCATGTAACAATTATGGATAATGAGTTGTTTTGAAAAGTTGTAATTTATTGTGATTTTGGGATGTTACACTACCTCTACCAACTAGTTAATTCAGCCAGTGGTTTTAAATATACAAAATAAATATTATTTTTGATAACTAACATCATTAAGAAGAGTTTATTTGTACTTTCAAAATAAGATTAATAATGAATAAGTTTTAATAAATGGGTTTTATTAAAAAAAATATTTTTAGCTTTATGAAAAAGTCAATATTGAATACATTTTGTCAAAATACTTAACAAAAAATAAAAATAAATAATTCTGTTGTATTACAGTTCATATATAACTTATATATTAAATTAATAAATAAGCTTGTAGGATTACTCACTTATAAACTTTTAAGATATTTATGGATGTTGAAAATTGATTTATAAAATATAAAAATTTGTAAGTTAATTATGTGTTACAAATGAATAAATAAATAAATACATAAAATGTGCAATGAGCAGACACCCGCTAATATTTACAAGAATAAAATTGATATATTTTTTTTGAAATACAAAAAACTAAACTATGGTATCTAGCAAAGTTATTTACTCTTGCTTATCCATAGTGTAACTTACTTTTTTCCTATCATTTAGTCTTAAAAAAATTGGCTTGGTGTTTGTCCATCACAGTTTCTTGTTTTTTACGAGGATGATAGGGGAGAAGGTTCGTCATTTCGACAAAAATGCTAAAACTTTGAAATATGTCCCATACCATCTCCTGACAAACTCTAATTAAAACCACCATGACTCGGACACTGAAGCTCCCATATAAAGGTAGTCAACAAATAGTTGGTTTATCATTTACTCTTACTTGTAGTGTAATGTTGGTAATGTACCTTACAAATAGTTGGCACACGAAGGAGCTTTGACAAGCTCCCATATAAAGATGTCAGTGTTTTACCCGGTAGTCAACAAATAGGGAGTGAATTTTTTTTTTTTATAGATCATTCAATATATGTTATATATATTAAGTATATTGAATGGTCATTTATTTTTAAGTTTTTGCACATTTAACTCATTCTTTATTCAATAATATTTTATCCTCTTAACTATATTTAAATTTTAAATATTTCTTATTTTTTACTTATTGATTTATTTTATTAAATATATAATCGTGTTTCCATTATGATAAATTTAGTTTGTTACCATAATATAATATTTTCAACGCCCTTTTTGATTTTGTAACCATAACTAAATATCTTTTTTCATATTTTATATATTTCAATAAAGATGTGATATTCTTGTATTTAGATATTAATGTGTAATAATAATATTTTATAACATATTTCTTGTGTTCGACACGCAGTGTTTGAGAAAAAAGAAAAAAACTTTGTTCGGCGACAAGAGCGTTTAGCTTTTAGCCTAAACAAAACGCTCCAAAATCAAAAGCTACATGGAGTAGCTTTTAACAAAACGCTCCAAAATCAAACGCTACTCGCTACCAGCCACCCGCTAACCGCTAGTTTTGCCGAACAAATCCAAAGACAAATAATTTAAATTTATATAAAAAAATTATTGACGATATTAATCATTGGAGAAAACAATTAATCAGTGGTTAAAATTTGTGGCCGGTTGAATATTGATATGAAAATAGTTTTGTTTATTTCAACAACACACCTTATTATTTTATTATAAAAGTACCGAGATGCTTTAAATTTTGTGATTATAGAAAGATAAAGAAAAATATATGGCCTAAAACAAAAATGACGTAACATAATAAAATATGTTATTTTTAATTACATTTAACCCTAAAATACATACATATAAGAATAAAAGAAAAGGCAACATTCATGTTCATTCATTGAAGACTCTGTAGAGTACAAAGAGGGTCAATACACACATGTCTAATTAAACTTAAACATGACGACTTTAAAAATTCGTGGATGCACAAAATCCAATAGGCAATTTGCACATAATAAAATACAACCAAACTGCCCATAGCCCACAGGAACACAAGAAAAAAAAGAGTTCTGCTTTGACTTTGCCTCCTAGAGAACATGTTACATACAAAGAATCACCATGTCCAGGCAACTCATTCCCCAAAAAAGGAGCCAAAATGACATCACAAAGTAATTTTTTAATCACTAAGTAACCAAGTGTGAAATAATAAAACTTAGATCACTTGTTTATTGAAGAATTTGTGGATACGATACTCGGATATTTAAGGTTATAATAAAAAGTTTCAACCTTTAAACAAGTCAAGTACCCGCAAAATCTTTCACTGTGAATCCAACTTTCTCAAACTTGCCTTTCTCACTATTCTCTCTAAACTTCATATAATCACCACACAAGAAGGGTTTATAGGCTCTCAAACTCTTGTCACCCACAACTTCATCAGGTGCAAAAACAATCTTATTATCCTCAAAGCACCAAAAGAAAGCAAGCGAAAACCGGTTTTTATGTTCCTTTAAAACGACTCTATGTTCAGATGACCTTAACTTTCCATTACTCCAAGCTTGCATCAAATCACCAATATTCACAACCAGTGTTTCTTCACACGGGTCTATGTCCATCCATTTCCCTTCTTTAGATCTGACTTGAAGTCCACCACTTTCATCCTGATAAACTATTGTTATGCAGCTCATATCTGTGTGCATGCCAAGCCCTTCAATGTCTTTTTTTATGATTTTGGGTGGCGAGTAGTTTATTATCCGTAAATACCCTTCGGAGTTTGAGAATTCGGGTTCAAATTTCTTCCCAAAATCTTCCCCCAAACACATTAATAACATCTCAATGATTTTATTAGATAGGGTCCTCATGGTGCTCCCATATTCTCTTAACACCTCACTGTAAAAACCAAATAAAAGAAATGGAAAATTAATTCATTTGTAAGCAACAGAAGTGACAAAAGGAAATCTCAGATATGTTTCTTAATAAATAAAAAAAAGTCAATGATAGTATTTTGTTATTAGGATGCCACAATGCCATGTTAAGTTACCTGAATTCCGACTTTGTGTGGTTCAAGAGCACATCAGCAGATCTCTGTGCGGATTCAAGAAAATCAGGTCCAGAAACACGAATCGACTCAAAAAAGGGAGAGGCGATGAAATGAGGAGTGTAGGTTTTGATGTTCGATAAGGGACCAGCTTTGAGTTTCTGTTCATATGGTAGATCAAAGAGCTGATAAGATAGGAATCGAAGTTTATTGTAAAGCTCTTTCGAGATCCCATGGTTGATTATGTGAAAGAATCCCCATTCTTTACAGGCTAAAGAGAGGGAAGAGAGGTGCGATGGGGTTAAGGGTTTAGATACATCAAAAACAGGAAGATCTATGGAAGTTTTGGATGTAAGCATGGTGATGATTTGTGCAAAAAGAATTAGTTTGCATGAAGTTTATAAACCGGTTTGCAGTTTGGAAGAGACAAACTTTATATATATACATATAAGTATATAACTGTAAACAAATTTAATATTTCCAAAGTACCTACTTCTTTCGAGTCAACTTTTTATAAGCATGCTTGTTTACACATGGGGCTAAGACAAAATGTCTCATGGTTTATTATTAACGTAGGACGAAAGCACACAAAATGTGAAACACACGTACAAGTAAATATATTCTATTGCTGAATCGTCTTTAGGCATACCAATGAGGCGCTATATAGGATGCCTCTAGTTTTGCTAGATTCAACCAGATTTTCAAACTTCAAAATTAAGCGTTAATAAGTACACTTTTCTGTCTAAAATCTAAATTAAAGTGTGCTCAGTTGATGTAAATCTCTTATTTCACAAGATTTAAATTAATATGAGTGGTAAAAACTTTTTTATAAGTATTTTAAACTATTTTTTTGCAAAAATAGAACATAGTTATCCAAAGCTCAAAGGCTATCTCATTATATGTATAGCCAAAGGGGTAACGTAAAAAGGGTTATGGGACATTTGTTGTCACTGAAGAGCAGTTTATTTTACATAAAATAATCACATTTGTTTATAAGTTTAGCATGCTAAGTTTGGGGGACAAGCATCTAGTTGTAAGTACAACAGTTGAAGAGGCAAAGAATGTAAAAGCTTTGACTTACAGTTTGGCAGCTCTTGGAAAGATTCCTTGTTGTCTGGATCTTTCGCAAGGAAAGAAGGTCAATGATGAATAGAGTTGGATTTAGTAAAATAAAAATAAGAAACAAATGGGAAGCATGAGCCAAGAAAGGTGGAGTTTGAAGGTGAACTGTTACTTTTGTCAAATGTTGGCTCTTGGACCTAGATTATTTCCTCAGAAACTGTTCAATATATTATTTTTTATACCCCAAGCACAAATTAACATGTTAGTCTAATAACCTTTAAAAAACCCGAAAACTCTCATTGAAGTTATCTATTTAGGGGCATACATTTTTTATTCACATGTTATGTGGGAATGGAGTTGTAGGAACTATGTGGTATTGTTCATTATATGGGACAAAATGAGAGTGAAAAATGATTTTTAGATTGTTTTTCTAATGATAAAAGAGGGTATTCACATGTTTTTTTCACAAACAAAAAATGTATGACATGATATGACAAATTTTATATTGTTCATATATACATTGATTGTTGGTAACTCTTTTCCATCAATTATGTTATATTGACAATTTGATATATCTTAATTAGCAAAATTATTTGTTATCGACTTATGGTTCCATCTAAAGCAATAACTTAAGTTTCTTAAGAAACCATTAATAATACTGAGTGAGAATGCATTATACAGCTCATGAACTCCTTGCATGGTTTTCCCCAAGTCAATGCAAGAGACAAGAGATGATATTAGAAATGATTCAACTAACAATAATTATTATCAAGTAGCTCTGTTTCATCATTGTGCTCATTATATTTATATTCATCAAGAAGTCTTACAGGTACGAGTTCAATGTATATGAGAAGCTCAGGTGACTGTTGTTATGAAAACGAAGGAATTGCACATGCTTCATGGCTTCATGCCTCATTAATTCTTAAAGAATCTGCCACTTAGCTGTCGCTTTGACGGCTCCTAATTAAGCTGATAACTTCCAGAGATTAAGTGGTTGGTTGAACATGCCAACATATATAAAATCCATGTGCAGTTTTTAAGCTAATTTAGCTTAGCTGGAATAAGCTGCTAAATAATCTTGTTTTAATACAAACCACATATAGGATATAGGATATATAGGATATAGTTAGACGTGAGTTCCTTTTTGATAACTAAATGAAGCAAAATAAATGGGACATGGAATTTATAAATTAAATACATGAAATTTTGGCACACAAAGGAGCTTTGACAAGCTGTTATCTCCCACCATGTACCATAAGAAGTAGAGTATAGTTTCTTTCGTTGAATATCACACAATTGGTTAATTGTATAATTAACAAATGGCATATATCTAATATATCTGTATGCTACTTGGGGTATAATTTTCAGTAAATAATATGTTAATTTTATATAGAAGATGTACAAAATATTTATTTTATCCAACTATGCTTTAAGAAAAACTATACATTGTTTTTGTATCATCTTTTTAGCTTTAAATTTGAACCACATACTAAATCGGCCAAGGAGGACTGTCTTCATGTAACGAATTTTCGTGAAGGCAAAGACCTTGAAATGCAACACTATCTAATTGCATCAACCAAATGGCTTCTAGCCTAGCGGTACCGGGTGTTGCATTCCCTCCTTGAGGTTGAGGGTTCAAGTCTCATTGGAGACATAGGTAGTTTTAGGAGTAGTGTAGATTTGTTGTTCTAAAAAAAATAATAAAAAAAAATCTAATTGCATCATATTCAAAATCGATATGTAGTTTTCATAAGTTAAATGGACACATCATTATTTTGACATTTTTTTAAACCCCGAAAAAAAATTAACAGACAAATAGGTTAGTCGTTGGTTAACAAATAAACCATTTTTAATTGGTGAATATATTCTCGATTCGAGTCCGTGAGAATAAATAGCTAAAACAAATAACCTTCTAATCCACCTTTCTCATATGTTTAAAATTTGGTACCTTTTCCGATATAGTATTTGTAAGGGATGGAGATTTGATATTAACTACTCATCCCTAATAAAGAAGACATCGGTTGTCGAGCTAAATAGTCTTAGTGGATTCTTGTTATGTTTTGTAAGTCTAATCCATAAAAAATGAGTGGCATTGTCTATGAAACACAATAATTGTATTGTAATTTTATAAAATCTTATGTCCTGTGTGTATATATATATATATATATATAATATATATATATATATATATATATTATATATATATATTATATATATATATATATAATATATATATATATATATATATATATTATAACGCCCGTGTTTCTAGGCTAGGCATTAATATTGACATAATAGTATAGGTTAACCTTTATAACTTATTTTGAATAAATGAAGAGGAATTATGTGATTATTATGTGTTTTATGCTTAATTATTAGGATTTAATTAATTAAGAATAAAAATGAGCGTCGAAAATAAATATTAGATAAAGCCGATATCTATTAAGAAAGTTGTAGTGGTCGTGACAAGGATTCCGGATATATAAAAAATAACGAAATTCGAGTTATAACGAAGAAGTTATGACCTGTCGAAGTTTCGCGACAAAACCGGCACGGTGCCGAATGTCGTAAAAAGTGAGTTTTTGATAAACTACTTTTTAGCCTTAGTGATCTAAACGAAAGTCGTAGTGTTCGTCAAACCGAGAGTATGTATAAAAAGAACGCCCAAATCTGACCTCGTATGAGGAAGTTATGATTTTTCTAAGTTTCAGCTTAGCAGTAGACAACTAAAAACTCGAATTTTAGATCGAGTGATTTTTAGCCGACACAACCTAAATGAGAATAGAAGGTCTCGTAAATAGTAGTACAACGGTAAAAAGACAGACGAAAACGGACGTCGGATGAAGAAGTTATGAATTTTTAACGAATTTCCTGTCCCGGTCTGTTAAAAATAATAATATAAAAATTAAAGTTAAAATTAGCCGACAAAGTCTAAACGAAAGTTGTAGAGCGTAATTTTACCTACGCGTGCATATAAAGAACGTCAAAAACGGAGCTCGTATGCGAAAGTTATGGACTTTAGAAGTTTTTGCACAAAAATCGAGAAAATTTGCATAGTTATGCTTCGGCCACGTCACCTTCGCTCTATGCGCGCCACGTGTCCGAACTGCTGAGTCACCCGAGGCCAGGTAGCGAGGCGTGTCGCACCCTCCTCGCACCGAAGGCTCGGCCAATCAGAAGCTGCCCCGTGCCTTCTCCGTGTCCGATCTCGGTGAGTCATCTGAAGCAGGTGAGTCATCCGAAACTTGACTAATCCGAAGACCACACGTGTCCGAGCCTCGCACCGCCATCAGCCTCCGAGCCTCACAGCTGCGACGCGTGTCTTCTTCTCGTTGCTTCGGGTCCGAACCTCGGCCCTATAAATAGAAGGTTGCGAGCCTTCTCGGGTAATTGTGAGAAATTGCCATTTTATACCCCTTTTTCAATATTTTCACTATTTTCGCTTCCCCCGAAGCCCCGGTATCAATTTTAGCACCCGAAACACGTCCCGAAGTTCCCGAGAAGCCCGAAAAATTTATTTTTTCGGTTTTGAAGTCCGACCCTCGCAGAGCCCGGTTTCTAAATAAAACTCTCGGTTTTATTAGAAACGATCGTTTTAGGAAACGAAGTGCTGCCCGATTATCGTTAAATCAAGTGAGTGTATAGTCACTTTCATCTTACACATAGATATGAAGTATTTTATATAAAATACGTGCTATGTGTATATATGTTGTTTGTTTGTTTGAGATGGATGTTGAATGAATGTTTTATACATGTTTAAAATGATTTAAAATGTATATATATTTTATCTTCAAATATGTTGGGTAAAACATAGGTAGATAAAGAATGAAGGATAAAAGTACAGTATAGATGTACGTTGGTAGCTATGAATTTAGTACAATATAGATGTATGTTGGTAGCTATAGATTTAGTACGTTGGCAGCTATGAACTTAGTACGTTGGCAGCTATGGACTTAGTGTCTGTTGTATAAACTTTGGCGACGATGTGACTTCGTGCCTATTTGACATAAATTGCTGAGGGAAAGCAATGTTGTCACCCCGATGTTTGTTTTATTTGATATAAATTGCTAAGGAAAAGCAATGTTGTCACCTTATTGGTTGTCTTGTTTGACATAAATTGTTGAGGAAAGCAATGTTGTCACCCCATTGGTTGTCTTATTTGACATAAATTGCTGAGGAAAGCAGTGTTGTCACCCCCGATGGTTGCCTTATTTGACATAAATTGGTGAGGAACCCCCGAAACAATGTTGTCCCCCTAATGAAATCCTTAGGCTAGGTCCCTTGTGATAGTTGTTTTAGGGACGTAAAATGAGGATAACGGGAATGAGTAATTAGGGTTAT